GGTCAGATACCAAGGGGAACAATATGTAAGAGAGACAGGAAAACATAGTCTCTGCTCACCTCTGCAAAGCAAGGTCACTACATGCTTTAATTTTGTATTGCACACTTCCGTCCGTAAAAATGCTTTTAATACATCTGCAAATAAGTGCATATTAATATCTGAATAATATACACACGTAGTACCATGATGATATACTATTTACGTTATGAGACAGACACAAAAATATAAATTAAAAATGGTAAGATAAAAATAAGAACAGAAGTTAGATTTTCTTTCCACACTCCCAAGGGTTCTCCTCGTGTACCTCTGAGGTGCACTCACGTCATTCTGCAGGCCTTTTGGTTAGAAAAGTGCTGCCAATAGAAATATAATGCAAATCGCACATGTAATTTACATTTTTCTAGTAGTCTTATTTTGAAATATAAGAAGAAATAAATAAAATGAATTCTAATTATACATTTTAATGTAATCCAATGTGCTGTTATTTCAATGGGTAATCAATATAAAATTATTAATGAGAGATTTAAAGTTCTTTATTCTGCAAGGAAGTCTTCTAAATTTGGTAGGTATTGTATACCTATGTTACATCTTCATTAGGATAGGCCACATTTCAAGTGCTCGTCAACTACATGTGTCTAGTGTCTACTCTATTATATGGTATGGGGTTAAAGGAGTATGATGCTAGGAGGAATGGGAGTCCTAGGAAACACTGAATTTCTGTTTGCAGTCAAGGCTGACCACATTAGAATAAGGATGCCTAATGCGGCATCCCCAGCAGTGGAACTGTAATCTTCCAGTTCCTTTAACTAGCTGGCCTTAAAATAAGCATGTTACTCAGGTTGCAGAGTTACATGATTCCATTAAAAAGGAATTATAGAGAAGTACAGAAACATATGAACATAGCAAAAATATGCATGAACACACATTAACAATTAATACTGATCACTCTGAGGATGTGGAATAGGTGGACTGTGAGCAGCAGAGTATTACAGTTTTCTACACATATATCTATGTAGTTTGAGTTGTCAAAATCTGTATTTATTTTAAAAATATTTTAAAGGACAAAAATTTTCAAGCACATGTATTTTTTTTTTCAGAAAGCATGAAGGCTGAATCCTTATTGATAAGATAATATTCCCTTCAGTTATGGAGGCCTATGCCTACCTGTAGGGTCAATGTGTTATTCTTATTGAATGAAAGAGTCTGCTTTCTTTTTTTATTCTTTTTTTTTTTTAACATGAAGGGAAAGTTGGGAAAGGGATTTTGGGCTTAGAGTTGCCAGATAAAATACAAGACACACAGTTAAATTTGAATTTTATATGAGCAATGATTAGTTTTTTAACATAAACATGCCTCATGCAATATTTCCTTTATATGATCCAGGGATAACCTAAATATTTGCTGGGAGCATACATAGCTATTTATTTATTATTTACTTTTTATCTTTGCTAGCAGTATGTCAAAGTGCATACATGTTTATGCTAAAACATTATTCACTGTTTATCTGAAATTCAACTTTTATTGGACACTAGTATTTTTTTTTTTGTCAAATCCAGCAAGCCTGTTTGGCTGTCATTGTCACAGTGAACTGCTATTGTCTTGCATGACTACTTTTCTCTGCACCTCAGGAAAGTGCTACCTCCAACGGAATTATTCCCATGAGTGGTACCCAACTGGGATGTGGTAGAGAGGTGCTTCTAATCCTTCCTGCCGTGGGACAGGAATTATGAAAGTTGATCCATCTTCCTGTCTCTCATCTTCTCAACCTATTTCCCTTCCAAATAAGTTCTTAGTCTCTTGAATTTGAATTACTTCTCTAAGTTGTTTTCAAAACCCTGACTGGAGAAAAGACAAAATTCTTAAATGTCCCAAATAAGCACGTTATTAACCATGGCAGGCAAAGCTACCTGTTTTAGCCTCAGCTCTGGAAGAATTTATGGTTTTTAACAAGGAATATGCTCCAGTGTTTTTATTATATACCTATATGTACCACAGTGCTGGAATCATGGCAAGTGGTATAGCTGTGAGTTGTCTGTGTATGTTGCGTGTGCGTGTGTGTGTTGTGTGTGCGTGTTGTATGTACATGCTGTGTGTTGCATGTGTGTTGAGTGTGTGTGTGTTGTGTGTGTGCCTTTTGTGTGCGGTGTGTGTGTGATGCGTGTATGTGGTGCGTGTAGTGTATGTGGTGTGTGTGTTTTGTGTGTTGTGTGTTTTGTGTGTGTTGTGTGTGTTTTTGTGTGTGTGGTGTGTGTGGGGTGTGTTTGGGCTGTCATTATCACAAGTGAACTGCTGTGGTCTTGCATGACTACTTTTCTCTGCACCTCAGGAAATCGCTACCAGTGTGTGTGTGTTTTGTGTGTCTGTGGTGGGAAATACCCTATATCCAAGGCATTTCCACTGCCCATCACTGCTGGTGATCAGATGGACATTGACATACATCAGGTTTTGAGAATCCCAAAGAGCATAACATCTTATGCATCCCTATTCATCAAATTCAAGTTTTTAGGTTTATCAGACAAGGTCTTGTTTTTTCTTTGAATGATTCAGGGATAACCTTAACCTCAAATAGCTAACTTGTCAATCCACCCAAAAATGCAAATCCTTAAGAAATTAGCCTGGGCACTTGTCTCAAGAAACCACAGTACTTTTTCCTCAGCATTTTAATGATACGAGAATTCTTTGATCCAGGGCTTTCTACTGTCTAATCCATTAGCAAAATTGTTTTTTCCATATCAGCCCTCTTTACCCAGATTCAATTGCCTCTGTCTTTAGAGTTATGCCAGAGATTGAAAGACAGATGCTTACCCCAGTCTCCAAAGATCTCAATGTGTAAATTGAGTGCTTTTACTCAAAAAAGAGGCATGAATATATAATTTAGACAAAAAGAAATAAAAAGTATAAATATATGAAAAATCCCACAGTTATCAGTACTCAAAGAAATGAGTTAAGTTGAAATAATATACTTTAAAGATGCATAAAGTTGGCTCCAGCCTTGATATGCTCAACCTAATCAACTATTTAGTTTCAGCTTTTTTCTTTTTCAACATCAGTCCTGCAATTCCTAAACTTTGGTATATTTGAAATCATGTGATTTCACAGGTTCTTATCATATGTAGTCAGCACAATGTTAGTAATATGAACAATGCCATATTCGCATGCAAAATCAGGTAAGAATGTTAAGTATAACCTTTAATGATGATCTTCTTGTGTGCTTTATATGTTGAAATTCTACTCTGTCTGAAACAGATACATATATGATTGATTGAAAGAGTAAAATGTTTTAATAATGGTAATGATTATGAAAACCATTAATTTCATGAACACAAATAATTGCTAAGAATTTCCAGTTAGCTAAATAAATAAGAAAATATATTTCCAGTTAATACTAATATTAAAAGTATATATTAGCTAGATAAACTTAGAAAGAGCATAATATACTTTTATTTTTATTTTTTTGAGACAGAGCCTTGTTGCCCAGGCTGGAGTGCAGTGGCATGATCTCGACTCACTGCAACCTCCACCTCCTGGGTTCAAGCAATTCTCCGGTCTCAGCCTCCCGGGTAGCTGGGATTACAGGCATCTGCCACCACACCAGGCTCATTTTTGTATTTTTGTAGAGATGGCATTTCACCATGGTGGCCATTCTGGTCTCAAACTCCTGACCTCAAGAAATCCACTCTCCTTGGCCTCCCAAAATGCTGGTACTACTGGTGTGAGCCACTGCGTCCAGCCCATTATATGCTTTATAAGGCAACAAACTTACAAAAGTTTCAATAACAAGTTAGCATAATATACATCTTCCTAGATAGGCATATAATAGATCATAATTTTAATCTTTTGAAAATTTTTTAGGTACAAGCATTTATAAAATAAAATTAACATGAAGCAAAATAACCTTTAAACACTATGTATATTTAATATTCTGTTATTTAATCCCATATAGATCATGATTCACTAAGGAAAAATATATCATTTACTAATTTTTATATGTTTTGAGAGCAGATTAAAAGCATGGTGTTAACTTTGTCATCTCAAGGTGTATTAAGGAGAAAAGAAAACATTCTTTATACATTCTATATTGACAGAGTAAAGAATATTAAATGCAAAAAAGAAAGAATGTTAGAAAAAAAATTAAGTACTTAAAAAATATATTTCCCCACTGATCACAAATGAAAAGTTCTACTTAATATTACAAATGTTCAGATAATGACTGTAAGAGCAATAAAATAGCTCACTCTTTTGAGAAAATACTATTCTTGCACTATAATTCAAATTTTAAACATTTAACAGATATTTCAACAGCAATATTGATAATTATGATTAAATTTTTAAACAAACTTTCAGAATAAATTTTGTATGCCTTAATTTTATTTTATGATGAGGATATTTGGCTTCATCTTTTATTTTAGGCAAATATAATTTTGGGAAAAGAATACTTTCCCATTTATTATCTGGCCAATTGTTCATTCAGTGCATGTCTAAATTTACTATTTTGAAAGACCGAATAACAGAGATAGTGTCCAGACTAAAAATGATGACAAAAACCACTATCAGAAAGAAAAACATCTACTCTAAATGTAGGTGTCCATTTCTTGTTTTCTAGAACTGGTGAACAAAGCAAACAAAACAAAAAAAAAAAACCCAAAACAAAAAAAAAGCCTGTCAAGTATCAGAGCAACAGAGAAAACAATTTTAAACATGGAGGAGCTCAGGAAATTTTGTATCCATGAGCCCCTTTAGAGAAAGCTATTTGAAGGTAAAATTCATCCAGCAATAAATTAATGAGGAAAATTTATCACTGGTGATTTTTAAATCTATTTTAATTATAGATATAAGACAAAAGAGGAAACAAGAGTGAAAGAATAAGATATTATATAATATATTCAATGTAGCATGTGTTATAAGTTTTGACAATGTAAAAATAATGCAAAGTTTACACCAAACATATTCATCTTATTAAAAAATGTAAATAGACAATCCACTTGTTAAAAAACATTTTCATACTTACCTGGCAAGGGAGATACTATGATCACAAAGGTGGTTTTCCCAGGGCGAGGCTTTTCCATTGCGCTCCAGTTGTGCTGACCTCTGTGATTTCCCTGAATGTGAGAAACTCAACTGCATAATTTGTGGTAGGGGGGGACTGCATTCTTGCTTTCCCCTGGATAAATATGTGTGTGTGTGTGTGTGTGTGTGTGTGTGTGTGTGTGTGTGTTCCCCAGATAAATATATGTGTGTGTGTATATAAATATATATATTTACATATTTATACACTCACACACACATATTTTCATCGTGGGTGAAGATACGAGCTTCAACTATGTACTGATTATTTTTAAAAAACCAAAATTGAAATAATTTGGAAAAATGCAGCAGGATAGACAAAGTATAGCAGCAAATGGAAACAACTAGAAAGCAGGTGTAGCGATATTGATGTCAGACAAAGTAGAATTCAACAACAACCACAACAAATTAAATGAGACAATCAGGTCACTTTTTTTACGGGTTTTGTTTATAGACCTGTATTTTGCAATCAACAAGGAAAGTTTTATAGAATAAAAAAAAAGAATAATATATTTGGTTACAGTTCCACATATCTGTAATAAATACAAAGCCACATGATATTAAATCTGTCCGTAAGTAAAGTAAAGCTGAAAAATTCAACCCATATAAAATTACTTTTTGGAGAGGAAATACGCTAATGAGTAATTATTTCAATGACCTTGTCTTTTTATGACTGTTTGCAAACTGATCCCTTTTCTTTAATCATTGTGACTCATCAATGTTTCAAACTGGCCCCTTAAGTACTTCAATGTTACCACCCAGGGATTTCTGAGGCAGCATAAGTTTGAATTCATAAAAACACTAGATACTTTAACTTTTCAGTGACTCTTTTTAAATCTGTAAACTCAATAATCACATTAGTAAGCCCAGTAACTATAAAAACATTGAGGTTTCATCACTGCAAGCCAGAATCTCTTCGTGCTTTTTAAGTTAAGCTGCTTTTAAATCTTGTTGGTATTTATCAGTCGTTTGTACTTCCCTTACACAAATAAAAGAATATATTTCAAATAATTTTTAAGGTTAAGTGTCATGGAGGGCTTATCAGTACTTTTTATTTTTAAAACAGCATAAATCAAGTACTATTTTTCATTCAGCATTTGGAATAGTTGAAATGATTTCTGGCCTCTCCTTATATCCACCAGCACCATCTTTTTTTATTTATAACATATAACACTAAAAGTTAGAGGCATCCCTGCAAGTTTTTAAGTAAATGAGAGAATCACAATGGAGTCTCAAACAGTTAACAATATAAATCTATTTTTTTCCCATTTATTTATTTTATTGCATTTTAGGTTTGGGGGTACATGTGAAGAACATGCAAGATTGTTGCATAGGTACACACGTGGCAGTGTGATTTGCTGCCTTCCTCCCCATCACCTACATCTGGCATCTCTCCCCTTGCTATCTCTCTCCAGCTCCCCACTGCCCACCGTCCCTCCCCTGTTTCCCCCCAACTTACCCCAGTGTGTAGTGCTCCCGTCCCTGTGTCCATGTGTTCTCATTGTTCAACACCCGCCTATGAGTGAGAACATGCGGTATTTGATTTTCTGCTCTTCTGTCAGTTTGCTGAGAATGATGGTTTCCAGGTTCATCCATGTCCCTACAAAGGACACAAACTCATCATTTTTTATGGCTGCATAATATTCCATGGTGTATATGTGCCACATTTTCCCTGTCCAGTCTATCATCAATGGGCATTTGGGTTGGTTCCAGGTCTTTGCTATTGTAAACAGTGCTGCAATGAAAAAAAAAAAAAAATCTATTTAAAAAAAAAACAACTGAATATTAAAAGAAAATCTTCATGCTGAAAAAAAAAAAGGAAAAACAAAATCCTCCTAGGAACTAAAACTGAGTACATGCTGTCATTGATTCTATACTTGTATTCCGTCTGATTAGACTCCTCCTTCTCATGTTGTAAGATATGTTTGCTGAAATCTTCATGCCAGGTTTTCAGGAGACTTAAAATGAAAAAACTATGCTAGTTAGTAGGCTTCTTTTATTCAAAGAGGTGTGGGTTAGCAATTTTGAAAATGCTTTTTGTGTGTTGAGTAAATAAGTAAATGTACTATGGAAAATTGGTGTTGTGTTTCTTGCTGTTGGATTAGGAAGCTCCAACTGTGGACAAGGGGAAGGGTAGCATGAATCCCACGTCACTGAATTGAAATTGAAGGTATCAGTGGAAATAATAGTTTTTACTATACCTGGATGGTAATGAAATAATATATTGAAACCTATATAATATAATAAAATAATATAGAAATATATATCTATAGATTTAGAAATATAGAAATCTATATCTATTTAGATATAGATTATATACAGGCACATCTCATTTTATTGCCCTTTGCTTACCTTTATTTCACTTTATAGATACTATGTGTTTTATAAATGTGGGGTTTGTGGCAACCCTACATCCAGCAAGTCTATTGGCCTCATTTTCTTCAGCACTCTGAAGTCACTTCCTGTCTCTGTGTCACACTTTGGTCATTCTCACAATATTTCAACTGTATCATCATTATATCTGTTATGGTGACCAGTAGTCAGTGATATTTGATGTTACTATTGTAATTCTTTTGGGCCACCACTAATTGTGCCCATTTAAGAAGATGAACTCAATCAATACATGTTGCATATGTTCTGATTGCTCCACTGACTGGCCGTTACCCCACCTCCCTCCCTCTCTTAGGGCCTCCTGTTTCCTGAGACACAATTTTACTGAAATCAGGAAAACGAAAGGAGCAGTCACATGTCTGTCACTTTAAATCAAAAGCCAGAAGTGATAACGTTTAGTGAGGGAGGGATGTCAAAAGCCCAGACAGCCCAAAAGCTAGGCTTCTTATGCCAAACAGTTAAATTGCGCATGCAGAAGAAAAGTCCTTGAAGGAAATTAAAAGTGCTACTTCAGTGAGCATACAAATAATAACAAAGTGAAACAACCTCATTGCTGATACGAAGAAAGTGTTAGTGTTCTGGATAGAAGATGGAACCAGCCACGGCATTTCATTCCCTAACTCTCTTCTACTCTTTGAAGGCTGAGAGAAGTGAAGAAGCTGCAGAAGCAGCTAGCAGAGGTTGGCTCCTGAGGTTTAAGGAAAGAACATTTCCATAACATAGAAGTGCAAGGTAAAGCAGCAAGTGCTGACAGAGAAGCTACAGCCAGTTATCTGGAAGATCTTCATTCTGGTCTTATCTTAGGAAGATCTAGCTAAGATCATTGATGAAGGTGGCAACACTAAACAACAGACTTTCAGTGTAGACAAAGCAGCCTGAGGTTAGAAGATGCCATCTAAGGCTTTTATAGCCAGAAAGGAGAAGTAAATGCTTCAAAGCTTCGAAAGACAGGCTGACTCTCTTGTTAGAGGCTAATGCAGCTGGTGACTTAAAGTTGAAGCCGTGGCTCATTGACCTTTCTGAAAATTCTAGATCCCTTAAAAGTTATGTTAATCCGCTCTGCCTGTGTTCTAACAACACCACCTGGATGACAACAAGTCTGTTTACAACATGGTTTGCTATATATTGTAAGCCCACTGTTGAGGCTTCCTGCTCAGAAAAAAAGAGATTCATTTCTAAATATTCCTGCTCATTGACAAGGTACCCAGTCCCACAAGAGCTCTCATGGAGATGTACAAAAACATTAATGCTGTTTTCACGCTTACTAACACAACATGCATTCTACAGCCTGTGGATTAAGGAGTCATTTTAAATTTCAAGTTTTATTATTTAAGAAATAATTTTGTAAAGAGATTCATCACAGTGATTCCTGTGATGAATCTGGGCAAAGTAAATCAAAATCCTTCTGGCAAAAAGTCACCATTCTAAATGCCATTAACAACATTTGTGATTCATGGGAAAAGGTCAAAATAGCAACTTAAACAGGAGTTTGGAAGAAGCCGATTCCAAACCCTCATGGATGACTTTAAGGAGGAGCTTAAGGCTTTAGTGGAGGAAGTAATTGAAGACACGGTGGAAAAAGAAAGAGAACTAGAGTTAGATGTAGAACTGAAGATGTGTATTGTTGCAGTCTCAAACTTGAATGGATCAAGCTTGAATGGACGAGGAGTTGCTTCTTATGGATAAACAAATAAAGTGGTTTATTGGAATAACATCTACTTCTGATGAGATGTTGTGAACATTGTTGAAATCAAACAAAGGATTTAGAGTATTACGTAATCTTAGTTGATACAGCAGTGTCAGGGTTGGAGAAAAGTGACTCCAATTTTGAAAGAAGTTCTATCGTGGGTAAAATGCTATGAAACAGCATTGTATGCTACAGAGAAATCTTTTGTGAAAGGAAGAAATCAATGTGGCAAACTCCATTGCTATCTTAATTGAAGAAATTACCACAGTCACCCTATCCTTGCAATAATCATCCTCATCAGTAAACAGCCATCAACAATGAGACAAGAATCCCCATCAGCAAAAAGATTGCAACTTACTGAAGGCTCAGACGATTGTTAGAATTTTTTAGCAATAACGTATGGTTTAATTAAGGTATATACATCGGCTTTTTAGACATATGCTATTGTACACTCAAAAGACTACAATTTATATGCATTGGGAAACCAAAAAATTCATGTGACTTGCTTTATAGTAATATTTGCTTTATTGCACAACATCTTTCAGGTATACCTGTGGATATAGACATGGATATTACATACGTATACACATAAACTTGCATCTATGAGTGTATGTGTGTACATACATCTGCTCTCTGTCTCTGCTGACAGGCCCTAGAAACAATGGTACCCTGTAGCAATCAATCAAAATGCCATTTGCCATTAAAAGGAATCAAGCCCTTTTGAGAAATGGTTGATTCTGAAAAAATGCAAGATGAGTTGAAAATATGGTATTGTGCCAGAAAAGTGAGAACTTGTTAAAAGAATGATGTAGATATGTCAAAGGGACACAGCAACTAGCTTGAAAGGGCTTAGACTGAACAAACCTGGACAATTTGAGAATCAAAGTCAATAAGCATAGTAAAGAAATACAATTCACAGAAAAAGAAACATAATTCGCTGAAAAAAGTGAAATGCATGCTATAAATGGATAAATGAATGAATACAAAATCAGGTGAATCTGTATCTGCCACAGAAGATGGAG